AAAAAAATGCAGAATTCCGAGATTAAAGTCAGAATTCCGAGATTAAAGTCAGAATTCTCAGATTAAAGTCAAAATTCTGACTTTTTTCCCATATTAAACTGAACTGAACTTTTTTTTATTTTTTCAGTGGCCCTAATCCTCTTCCATACATTCATTTGCACAAAACATCAGAATAAAAATAAAATAAAATGGAAAAAAGGGTGGCTTAATCTGTTTGAATAAGTTTTAAGTAAACTGAAAATTTGCTAAAACACATATGTTAGCACCCATAACCTAATTAGAATCTTTACTTGGTAAAACTACCTTGCACAATTTTCCCCAATCTGCCATTTGTTTTGGTACATTTTATATCATGACTCTGGTTTCTCAGTTCCAGTCCCATGGCTGACTTGGATGTAAACCATAATAGAGGAAGTAGGCTTCTCCTTTCCTTTACAGCTAAAGGAGACACTTGATAGTTTCCAAGACGATTGGCTATTTGAAATGATTTCTTTCTAAAATAAACAAACTTAGTTTAATCTAAAAAACAAAAAACAAAGATCAGGATGCTTATAACTTTACATTGCATTATCGTTAGTCTGTAAACTTGCCTTTTTGTATAATTGCCTAACACAAATGTGGCAATGCAATAAAGCAAAAAAAAAGTAAAAATAAAAAACGGGGTTAATTATTGTTTGAATGCATTGTGTTTTATTATATGCATCCAAAATAAATCTCTTACAATGACTGGATTACTGCAAAAAGACAATTACAAAAAAAATTTATGAAAGTTAATTATGTTTGCAATGCATTTTTAGAAACTATATCAAATTTCTGCTTTTTGATATGCTGTTTCAAATTCCATCTTCTACTTTCTTTTTTCTATAGAGCGCGAAAGAAGAGTTGAAACATTATTTTCAGCCAGCTGCTTGGCAGTATGAAGCAACATGGCGGGGGCAGCACTACCTCACTCTACGCAGCAAAGATAGATCTGTTCCCTCCAGCAGTTTTTTTAGGATAAGACTGAATTTTTGTGTGTATGAATTTGTAATAGCTTTTAATTTGGGTACCTAGTCCATCCTGAAGAAAGATTTAACATTGTTATTTGGTTAGTGAGAATTTACTTGCAATGCTAATGCCACACTGTGGCAACTGGAGCATCCAAAAACCTTTAGTATACAAAGAGGTTCCCTATTGAATATTAATGAAAAGCTAAAGGATTGAATATTTTCTATATCTGAGCAGAAACAAGGATTTAAATTTTTTTTACTGTGCTTTAGAAGCTTTTTTGTAAGTTTATGGTCTCATTACTTTGGCACAACATGAACGGTTAAACTTAATATCATCTGCATAGAAGTACAGTTGTAATGAACGTCTTAAAAGTTCCAACCATTTTATAAACCCTAACAACTTTTTAACTATATCCAAATACCAGGTGGGTGTCATGCTTTTCCCATTAAAAAAAGTCACATAAGACAAACATAAGCACTTACCTTAGAACAGGGTGAGAAAATCATCCGCCAGCAGCCTAAATCATATATTTTCCAGTGATAATTACAGCGAGGCTAGACGGAATTAGCAAATGAGGCTCTAATTAGAATGGAAATGTCCCAGTTAGTGGCTTATCAAAGCATCAGCAGGGAGACCAGGTTTGAACAAGATATCAAAGATGGAAGAGCTGTCAGTTCATTGGTACGAGTAACACCCCCATTAGGTTGACAGCCTGCGCGTGTGTGGGTGCCGAGCAGGAAAGGGAAATCTTATATAAGGTTGATAAAACAAAGCAAAACATACAGGATTTTTCCTAAAGCATGCAAACATTTGGTCGACATCTGAATTACCTGGAGTGGGTGATTTTCTTTCTTACATCTTTTAGTTCTCCACCTACTTCTCCTCTTTCTCACTGATTTAGAGTATATGACAAAAACTCAGCGAGATGCTAAGGGGAGTGGCTTAGTTCTTTTTATTCTTTTAACATAAAAAATACCCCTAAAACATATCAGAATATAGGAAGATCCATCTAACTGGATTCAATAGGAATAGGAATTCTGTTCTCTTAAAAAATGAATGTATAGGATCACTTATAGACGCAACCAAATCACATTAAGTAATTTTATTGTTTTTAAATGTATCTTATATTTGTCAGGATCGCGGTTTTTGTGTTCGTCTGTTTGTTCTGTTCTTTTGTGTTTCTCCCTTCCACCACCAGGAGGCGCCTGGCTCCGGTTCGCCTCCTCACACACCTGCTAGCTAGCCAAGCCTTGTTTATGCTGAGTCTAATCTGAGTTTTTGCATTTTGAGTTTTTGTCCTCTAGCCAAGCTGAGATCACATTGAGTTTTCGAGTCTCAACTTTGTTTTTTCTTTGCCTTTCGGCAGGAAGCCTTCCTGCAAACTGGACCTTTTCGGACCGCCTTCTCCCAAATGGGATCAACTGAGTCTTACACGGAGTGACGGATTCCAAACAGGAGGTTTGGATCCAGCCACCTTTGAGCACGCTGAGATCACTCTCTGAGTAAGGAAGTCATCTTCACCACGACCCATTCAAGTACTACAGGAAGTTGCAACCAGCGGCTGCATCATTCCACTCCTTCCGAGTTCTGGGTAAACCCTGTTCCGCCCTCCACCGTATTAGACAAACTCTGGAAGACCAACACACAGACTGGAGTCTACGTGTCTCTTCTTCTCTGGAAACGTGAGTGGCAACAAATCCTCTCCTTCAAGATAAACAACTCCAATTCCTCACTGAGCCTGAATCTAACAGTCTGTCTTCCCCTCGTCTTTCAGTTTCCCGGCCGAGCAGAGTTCGGAGGAACTCCAAATACCTTTCAATAAAACCCGTTTGAACTTTTATACTGAGTCTCTCTGTTTGGCGTCACTGCATGTGGGTCCCAGCTTTAGAACAATCATGACAATATTCTCGAAAAGAAGAAAATAATAATAATAATTGAACTTTATTGATCTCACAATTGAGATTTTAACTCTCTGCATTTAACCCATCCCCTTGGGGAGCAGAGGGCTGCCATTGTGTGGCGCCCACGGAGCAATCAGGGGTTAAGGGGTCTTGCTCAGGAACCCAGAGTAGAGGCAGTGGATCGAACACACTATGCCAACACTCCCCTAAACCTGAGTTTACTGAGTTATAATGGGAAAGCTCTTTTACCATCTTAGCATTGACTGTTTCCTTACTCCCTAACATGCAGAGGGTTTTTTCAGGGGGTAGTCTCTAATTTATCACTCTGTTGCAGGCTCGGACTGGTAATCTGTGATACTGGGCATTTGCCATCACTTACTCTCAGGCCGAAGCCCCTACCTGTGAGAATAAATAACTCAAGGAGTTCAAGAAGTAATCCAATGTTAACTACCTAAATGATGCATGCAGTATCTATAGCCCTTCCTTGTCATGCACATCCTTGTGACGGTTGGAATATGGTGTAATTTTTGATTCCTTCAAACTGTAAAATCCTTGCAACAAACTAAATTATAATAAAACTAAAATTCTTTCTTTTAACCGAACTACAATTTTACTTTTGTATTTGGCGAATTTATATTAGAATATTTTGCAAAAATATGTTGCGGTGCATGATGGGGCTTTGCATCTGTTTGCATGATTCATTGCCAACATGCCACCTAGACTGGCAGTGAGTGCTTACACACTGCTGAGCTTTCATGTATTAATTTTTGAAGTACTGCCTGT